AAAATAATATTTAATGTTACAATTAAATTAAAATGATGCTTATTATGCTTTAATTAAATTAAGATTATTATGCGGTTAAACAATGACGATACACGATTAAATTTAAACCAATTAAATTTTAATTAACCCCAAATTAAGATAACCCATTAGTTAAGATGAGATTATGCTGCAGATCAATGGAGACGATAGAAAAAAATTTCGATTGCATCGAACTTACAGCTAAAATATAACAAATTAAACAAAAAAAATTATAACTGCTTGTTTTGTGATTTAAAAGAGCTTGCAATAAAATAAAAATAGGAAAAACAAAAGATTAAATCAGGATAAAAGCACGGTTAATGCCAAGGCAAACATAATAACTTGCAAAGGAATAATCTTGAATCCTAAAAGAAAAGATTGACATATCTTGAGGATTTATATAAAAAATATTTAATATAAAAGTTATTATTTTGTTATTAATAGTATTACGTTCTCTACGGAACCATTTTGAAGATAATTGTTAACTTCAGACTGCAATTATTTCTTCAGATTTTTAATACAGATATGAAAATGTGATAAGAGAATTAGCAAAAATATTCGTTTACTGATTATTATATTTTTCTTTACGCATTTTTTAATAAAAATTTCTGAGCCTAAGTACAGGCATTTTTTTCAACTGATCACGTTATAGTTTCGAACAAAGTTTTGAGAACATTATCATAAATTTTTCAATAGTACAACAAAAGTGAAAGATAGACTTGTTTACAAAGATGTTATATAATATTTAGCAAGAGAAAATAAAACTACAATAATGAAAATTTTCCATTTACAACAGAATTTTACTTAAGTTTGATCGATACGAATTTTTTTTTCTAGATTGACAAAAGGATACAATAAATAAAAACCAAGGTTTTCTTAATGGAAATGTCTTTTTAGTAAAAATTTTTTACGTATAACAATGAGATTAATTAAATACGAAGTAAGCAAAAAATAGAAAATGACTTATTAATATTTTAAATTAAAATCTTAAATGAAACAGGCTTTACATAATCTTGATTTATAGGGGACGTATCCAGGGGGTGATTATGATGCTGCAGTACCCCTTTAATACCGAAGCAATTAGATTTTGTTACTTTAAAATAATAATAAAAAATAGAATAACGCGTGTCTCACGACTTCAATTACATAATTAAAGTAATTTTAAGTAACATATGGGGGGTACGTGCCTTGGTCCCTCCGAATCCAGCAGCATCCATATTACGAAAATCCTGGATACACCACTGTAATTTATATTACTTTTCCGTTTATAATTATGTAATAAACTTACCTTTTTATCTAGATACGAAGACCTGTGCAGACCATCCATAGACCTGGAAACATCTTTCTGAGAGGAAATGCTTCTTTTTCCGAGATTCTTTAAGTATTCATCGTTTTGACGTATTTTATTTTGATTCTCTCTCATTTTTTGTCTTGCCATATCCAACATTAGCTGTTGTCTCAGAACATCTAATGCGTTGACGATGGACAGTGGAGGACCATCACGCTTCATCATGTGCCCTGGTGGCACAGTCCCTTCTAAATCGTAGCCATTGTAAGTGGATAAAGGATAAGGTAACGCCCATAAGCCTCTATTCCTGTTATCAATTTGTTGTCTAGGAAAGATATTCATCAGTCTGTTAACGTGATTAACTGAATATAAGTCGGGTTTTGGACGATTGATGTCCTCTTTAGAATAATCTCCAACAGCATATGGTATTATTTGAGGAGTTACTAAAATGTATAGGACGAGGATGAACATGTGTATACATGTATACATTTTTTTGTAATGACCTATAAGGGTAAAATAAGGAGAGTCAATTAAATTAAATTTATCATTTATCAATATAAAGTTTTACTCTTTTATCCCAATTTAATTAATATTTAAGTTGTTGGTGATAATACAAAATAAAATAGATCAATACCGAAGTATTAAAACAAGAGTAATAATATCTTTGAATTAATAATTGATGAATTTCAGTACAAATATCAAGTATTAAAAATATAGTTAGAAAGTTTTTGATTTTAATTCTAAAATATTAAATTTATCAAGTAAT